ACTCTTAACAGCAAACGTCTGCTGGACAGAACTGCTCAAAATGCACGATCGCACAGCTACCTCGTGTGCATCGCTTTTTTCCCATATATCTGGGAACTGAATTCGAAACAATTTTGCTTGTAGCAACTCAAGAAGCGACTGCCGCTTTTTGCACGTGCTGAAATTCTAACGCTGGGCTTTTTTCAACTCTCCTGGAGAGAAGGCACGGAGGGAGTTCTAACTTTGCCGTTACCGCCCACTGCTCGAGTGAAAACGTAAATTTTAAAAAATTCTAGTTCGATGTATCTCGAAATGCAGCCAAAAGGGCGCTAAGTGGCATAATATCAACTCCGTTCAAGCTCGCGCGCTGATTCTTTCGGAGAGCGCACCACTATCCGACAGTAACGATGGTGATATGCAACATGTGCAATGGGCAGTTTTTCCGTTGACATATGAGAAGCACAGTTCAAGGAAAATCGAAGAACATAGTGGATATAAGTCGGATAACGATGATGATGACCAGGAAGACAGAAATTCAATACGATACGGGCTACGTGGCATGTATAAATATGGAGGAGAAGGAATTTTTGGACAAATAACAAAGGCTGAATGACAATGAGAAGTTTAGCTTTATGTTTCCTTCTCTTTCTTAAATATCGTCAAGCGTACGGAACGCCAGCAGGCTGATTATGAGGCAAACCAGCATTCCTCAAAGAAAATGGGAGAACTGTCTGTCATCTGCATAACTGGAGAACTAAACAATGGCAGATTTCAAATGGATGTAGCAATGCTCAGGTCACAACTTGAAACGATGCAGCAATCGATGGATAAGAGTAGTTTGCTTACTACAGGGGCCTCAAAAAAAAATTACAGAAGCAATAGATACCGTCAACTGCCATAGCAAAAGTGATAAGCATATAGCTGCCGTTGGAGAGTATCCTATAAATGGCGATAGGAATGTGCCTAACATCAAGCCATATATGGTACCAGATAGGACCATGATTACTCCGGAGTGCCGGCATTGATTCACCAATCGTTACTGTTTGTAGAGTTGTTGTAGCTTCCAAACGATCTGGAAAGTTCACCGTAGAAGCGGCTTACAACAGCTCAGAGGTATGTAAATTTGACAGAAATCGTCTTTTAAACAGGCTCAGAACTGCAATCACCTCCCTGGACAATTTTTCAAAACAGTGTTGAAAATAGGAGAAAGGAAAAATAATAATCAAATTACAATATCAAACAAAAACCTCCCCACAGCTTCACGAGAGGCAGAAGCACCCGAAAATAGCAATAAGTGATGGCACTGTAAGCAGTAACTATTCGCTGGTAAGAACATCGATGACTTCCTCTTCCAAAAATTACTTAGAAACAAGCTGACAGCGATTCTCCGGCACATGCTCGCATTAGTTGGATGTAAGAAGGAATGGGTGAACCGGTCAGCTGCCTCACTGATAAAGTCTAACTGCAGTTAATTAGAAAAATAGTGGCGCAACCCACCGACGCACCGCGCTCCGGTCATCACATTATAGTAGCCCGTACATTCTAACATAAAGAAATTACACAAATAACCTATCATTCTCTGCTGCATCGAAGCTAAGCCTTTTACATTTCTCTTGTATTCCATCACGTGAAGAAACGGGTTTGTCTAGAATATAACTCACCATCTCCGCCGATCGGCAAAAGAGGTCCACAGACCGCCGCCGTCTTACTAGCTGACGCAATACCACAGCATTCTGGCGTACGTTTTTTCGGGCCAGCTATCGTTTCTTCGTGCAAACGCGTACTGCAAGTTGAAACAGAGCTATTGACCATGAATTGAAAAAAAAAAACCAGTTTTTAGCAAAAATAAGCGGTAATTTTACATCGCACCACTAGTGGACCATGTGCTGTAAGACATTAGCAGCGCCCGCTTCTTCCTCACGTGTATTAGTTTCGACGAAAGTCTTTACACGTCCACATCCAAATGCATGTAGGCCTGGCACATTTAGCACTGCCGGCTTCTTCACATGCAATTATCAGGGCCATCTGTCGTGCGCGCTCAACTATCATCACCCCAAAGCACTGCTGTAAATGCCACTATATCTATCTGACAAGTGATCCTTCAATTATTTGGAATTCAAGCAATTTTATGAAACACAAACGTGAGCACGGCGACATAACAGTGAAGCATACAAGCTACGCAGAAAGAGAATAGCTGCAGAAAATACAAAAAGTCAATTTCGTGCAGAACGGTGATGGAGCAAGCAACAACTTAGGGAACTAACTCGACAGAATGCCTGACATCATAGTACGGCCACATCCGGACAAAACCGAAAGTTTTATAGCGATAGCCTGGTTGATTTAGTACAAATAAATATAGACAAAATCAGCAATTAAAAAAGAAATACACAGAAAAGTGAATAAAAGTCAGTGAGAATAAAAATAGCAGGAAGAGGGCGAGAGATTAGGACGTTTCGAACTCCCAAGCTTTAAAGGCACCATATTAGCACACTTCAAATAGAAAGCCCCATCACAGCCTAATTCACCCCATAAACTACACAACCACATTTTAAAAAACTCAATTTTCCTTCGCAGAAAATGGATACCTCCGTTTCAACTGTTTAATACGATGTCTAAATTTTACAATCGATGATTTTCTTCCGTGAGCATAGTATGAAAATCTAAAAAATTCACGCACCGATGCCATTTCAAAGATTCGGGAAGAACCTTCGGGAGTACCATTATCGGGAAAACAGCAACGAGAGCCAAAAGGCTGGCAAGCTGAAATCCGATCCACCACGCGCCAACCCATTTCGGATCACTCTCATCAATATTTACAATCCTTAAAGATGACAAATGAAGTTTCATAATTTTCATTCGTTTTCGAAAATAGTCTTCAATCACGTATACTTGTGGCAGAAGAGAGCAGAAGAAGGTTATCGGATAAGAAAAATC